ACAGTAAACAAGTTTCTAACCTGAGAGAGAAACCATAGAGCTGAATAGAAAATCTGTAGACATAGATAGGAAAATTACATTTGTAGAGGACTAATTAGACTCATTCATTTCTTGAAGGAGAAAAAGCAATACTGCATATGACCCAAACGCATCCAGAAACGATGGTGCAGAGGTTAAAAGTGACTACTTGTCTCTGTGAAAACTGATATTTTAAGACTATTCGGTATTTATTAATTGTGAAGAACTATAATCTAGTGACACTTCACTCTGATCTTTCCCTATAATGACTTTTAAATTACCAAATTTCAACATCCCTTCTGCCAATCAGATGTGAAAGCAGTTGCGTTATGCTGAGAAACAAGAGTGGGTGCATCAGGTGTCCATAACTCAGTCTGAATGTTCAGCCAAGCAGAAATAAGTCACTTTGACCTCAACAAACCATATCTAGCTAAAAATAAAAGAAAATTAAAAGATGTATGCATTCTCAGGGTCCTTTTCAAGATAAAGCGTCATACATGCAGTCAAGTCCATTGGACAAACACACCATATCCTGTTATATTATTGTCAAGGCTCTTCCTTACAGTGCTTTAAAAAGGCATTGCATGGGAAGGAGTAGTGGGTATTAAAAAAAAACTATCTTTTTCCAGTACATAAACAAATGTCTTGTTTTTCAGTCTTAAATCAGAAGTTCAGAGTTTTTGCAGCACCATCTAGTGAGACTAAAGAGGTTTTACTCAACTTCTCAGAAACTCCTGCCTGTTTCCTCTTTACGTTTGCATTTCTTTTTAATCACGATATACTTATAGTCTATTGGCTGAAAGTCTTTGGGGCCAACAAGCTGTTGAAGAAGCTGCCTTTGGTGCACACAATAGTCCTTTTTACATTTCTTTCTGAACTACATGAAATACCACAGCTTTGCAAACTGCCGAGCTGAAAAACTGCAGAGCTTTCATCAAGCCTTGTTATTAATGAATTGTCTCCTAGCTAGTGAGATGGGCCTCTGATCTGTACCTTGTTTTGAAAGAACACACTCTGCAAGTAGAGAACAGATGCATGTTTTGTTAGATGTGAAGGATGTAGGCATACCTGTCATCATTCCTAGCAGGAAGTGTTACTGATTATATTTTCTATAAGGCAACATCTATACACTCACTCAGCTCTGTGCCAGACATATGCAAGACTGTATGCAAAATATCCTTCCTGGCCCAAAGATGTTGCTGGCAAACAAAATTCTGTCTGATTCCAAGCCAGTTCAGATGACGCTCATCTTTTCCTAGGCTGCTCTGTTTCTTGAAAGTTTCCCAGTGCCTAATTATGATTAAAGCTGCTTTGTTTTCCTCATCTACTCATCCCTGGTTAAAAAATCCTGAAGTATTTTTCACACAACTGAGCCAATGTGTGGAATCAGAAGCATTTTAAGAACTATTTCCTATAACACCTCTTAAAACAATGTTTTTGCCCAATAAGAAAATAAATACCACCTTCAGAACTTTCTGAAATCTTCCATGTCACCAAGAGTTACATACCACTGAAACCAAAAAAAAAAAAAAAAAAAATTTCAGAATGAAAGCAACTCATCTTCTTCTAACAGCACATAAGCACATACTTGCTAACTATGTGACTGTTAGAAGAGGGGATACCACTCTAGGAAGATAGAAACAAAGTGACATAATTCACTGTATAGAAGCTATGATGTTATTTTACGTTCTTATACATACCTGCCACTAAAACTGTTGTGAAACTACAGTCTTTCTTATCTGAAGCTGAGAGAGTTTGTGCTCCACTTACACAATGGCATCCTCTCCTCCGATAGGATTTCTTCAGTGAGCTGGCAGAGGTGGGCTGCCTGCACCATGGCTCCATATGTTTCTGTCTTCTGCACTTCATATACCTGAGGGTTTCTCCTCATTAATGCCACTGGTGTTGCATCTTCTTTGATGAACTGCTGCAAGCTGGAACGCAAAGCATCCCTGGTTTATCTTTAAGTCACTTTTAATTATCCTTTATTCTCCTTAATAACTTCTTTTATAGAATTTCTCTTGGATAACTGCTTTGCATAAGGATAATTCATTTCATGAAGTGCAAGGGGAGGAGAAGATTCAAAGATACTGCTCAAAGGAAACAAAGTTTATATTGTCATTCAAACAGGCTTCTAACTAACAGCATGGGTAGACCCAGAGTCTTGTCTCTCATATCCAAAGGATCAGATCCAAAACAGCTTAGCTACAACCTTGAAAAATATCTGCCAAAAATACCTGTTATAAATATTGTAGATTTACTCTTGAAACTAAAATGTAACTGCAAAAAAAAATCGGAGTGACTTATGATGTGGCCTGACATCTATTAATAGGCAAAAATTATTCTTTTTACTCTAAAATATAAACTCCTGCTTTCTTATGATACTGCATTCGTGCCTATAAGCATCTCATTTTTATGATTATTATGACATCATATTTGCTGAAAACATGACTTTTTGAAAGTGGTTCTACAGGATCTAGAATATGTTGATAAATATCAGTTAAAGTGCCTTAGTGATTTTATGTGTAATCAGTCAGTATATTAATTGCTGCCACCCAGTGGGCTCATTTGTAGTCTTTGGCTCACTATACTATAATTTAATACATCATTATTTGGTTAAATGATTTCATCCTCTCCATCTGAAGGAGTGTGATTTATTTTCCTCTATCAGCAGACACTAAAAAATAGTGTTTCAAGCTACAAGCTGTGGTTGGCTTAAAACATATTGTCCTACAAATATTTTTCTTCATATCTGTAGTGTGGGACCAGACCCACGGAAGGCAACATACACATAAGCTTCGAACTAACTGTACGTGAGATTACCTGCTTTTCCTTCTCGGCCTACCTGCAAAGTCCAAGGCAAATACTTTGTTTTATTTAAATGATAAATATTTCATTAGAACTAGGAAGTTTTTTAACATGTTACACTTTCCTGAAAAGCACTGATATTTCTGACCCTTGCATACCTTGCACTGGGGTACTCGTGCACTTGGCAGAAGATAAGCCATGCAAACAGTTTGCAGTTTGTCTCCCTTACCTGCAGCTCCAGTGGTGCCAGTAGAAGCCACAGGCTCTCGGCACACCTCAGAGGCTGGCCTATATAACACTGAAGTGAATAAATTGGCTCTTAAAACTGGGCTGCTGTGTTAACAGCTTCTACAATCTATGTAAGTGTTATGAATAATGAAATAAGACACTGTCAATGACAACATATTATTGAAGAGCTGTTAAGTGCTGCATTATGATTTCATTTTGATGCTGCTCCTGGATGAGAGAGCTTACATGCCTGTGCGTGAAAGGAGGAGGGAGAGAAGGGAAGATGCTTAACATTCTTCTTATTGACCTATATTTTGAATTCAGATACCTGTTTAATTTAGAGCATGTTATTTCCAGGAGGAATGGCCATTTGGGGGAGTAATTTGCTGCCCTTAATTTCTGTGCACTCAGCCATCTTGTTGGGCTACATGCAGTGCAACTAGATGCCAACAGGGAAGGAAAAGAGAAAATAACCCTCTTACACATTCCTGGGTTACCCAGACCTAGTCTGTAATCCTGTAAATCAAGGCTGTCTACCATTGTGGTTGATGCAAGTGAGGCAGTAAAGTGCAGGAGAGGGAAGGGATAAGAACAGGCTGAGTCTTGGCTCAAGCCCAGAAGAGACTGTAGATGGATGTAAATTATCTTCCAACCTTGCCCTAAGATAAGAAGAAAGTTGGGAAAGAAATGCACTCCAAGTCTAGCAGCTGAGGAGATACAGGTTATGCATCAACACTCCAACTGGGGCTTCTGTGCCAAAAACCACTGTCCCCTTTACTGCTTTTAGTGGGATTACTGCAAAATAAGGTAACAATCTGCAGGAATAAAGGTGAAAGAATTTAGCCTCAGTGCTTTATAGAAGCTAAATAAATCTACTGCAAGAAATCTAAAGTATCTGGAGGTTGAAGTGGAGGAAGATATTACATCCTTATATGATATTGCTCATGCTCAAACACAGCATGAGTGCAGATGCAAGGAAAGAGATTTATTCCTGTAATGATAGTGGAAACACTTCTGTAACCAAAGACACTGGGGAATGAAATCACCTTTATTGCTCATCAATGGCAAAAAAAAACCCAAAACTTGCTTCCTGCCTATAAAGCTGTTCACCTTTGATGCTAAAGCAAATGACCAATAAATCACATGGTAAATGCAATTTCCTCCTACATTTTTAATATTTCTTCATTCCCTGCATGAGCCTCAGCTGGAAGAAAAACAAAAACTCTCCAGAGTTTACCAGTTGGAAGTGTTACAATATTGATTTCACAGAAGGTCACAGATCAAGTTTGTGGTTTTTTCATCTAATCCCCAAATAAGATATAGGACCAAAGCAGCACATGCTGGGAACCTTGGACCAGACAAGAAATATCAGAAACTGGTAAAACTGAAGCAAAACAGAAGGGTTTCAAAACTTCCTACAACATGGGGAGAAGTGGAAAAAACAGATTTCATAGTTACTTCTCCATTATCTTCAGAATGAATACTCTGTTCAGCTGCATCCCAGACTGTTTGCCTCAAAACTGATGTTTATTAATCTGATTATTTAATTTTCCTTATGTCATGACAGCTGAATTTTACCAAATAATGCTGATTCTCAGTTAGAATCAGATCTCTTTCTTTCAAGAAGAAATGTGAAATGTAACAGTTGTGCATACTGGGGGAAATAATTGGAGAATTCATTTGTATACAGGGTAAAAAAAGTAAGGACATTGGTAATCTAACATTTACAAATATATCTCATGCAGTAAAGTGAAATAGTGTTCTATTATCTGACTTCTTTTCTTCTTCCAGATTCAAAAATGAGACAGATAACAGACCTCTGAACTTACCTGTTGGCACTTGAATTGGATTCTGTAAGCTGTCAGGTGTCTGTGCTTGCCAAAGGAATGAAAAATGTTATCTGCAGCTTTGATAATAACATTCTCTGTTTCTTTTTTTTTTCACAGCTCCATTCAACCCTCCCAATGCTGCAGACAGTATGGTCAAATTTGATGCCTATGGAGATGGGATAGGACAATACAACGTGTTCAATTTCCAGTACACTGGAGGCAGATACTCCTACGTGAAGGTTGGTCACTGGGCAGAAACCTTGTCACTTGAGGTAGACTCTATCCACTGGTCCAGGAACTCTGTCCCTGTCTCCCAGTGCAGTGACCCCTGTGCTCCTAACGAGATGAAGAATATGCAACCAGGAGATGTCTGCTGTTGGATTTGTATTCCCTGTGAAACCTATGAGTATCTGGCTGATGAATTCACTTGTGCAGACTGCGGGCCTGGAAAATGGCCCACAGCTGACCTGACTGGCTGTTACGACCTACCAGAAGACTACATCAAGTGGGAAGATGCTTGGGCAATAGGTCCTGTTACCATTGCATGCCTGGGCTTTATTTGTACTTTTATGGTCATTGCAGTGTTCATCAAGCACAACAATACCCCCCTGGTCAAAGCTTCTGGCCGTGAACTGTGCTACATATTGCTCTTCGGGGTCTTCCTCTCTTACAGCATGACTTTCTTCTTCATAGCCAAGCCTTCTCCAGCTATCTGCACCCTGCGCCGGTTGGGGCTGGGAAGCTCCTTTGCTGTCTGCTACTCTGCCCTTCTGACAAAAACAAACTGCATAGCCAGAATATTTGATGGTGTAAAGAATGGTGCTCAAAGGCCTAAATTCATCAGCCCCAGCTCTCAGGTCTTCATCTGCCTGAGTCTCATTTTGGTACAGATTGTAATGGTGTCCGTGTGGCTTATCTTGGAGGCCCCTGGCACCAGGCGGTACACTCTTCCTGAGAAGAGAGAGACTGTCATATTGAAATGCAATGTCAAAGATTCCAGTATGTTAATCTCCTTAACATATGATGTAATCCTCGTAGTCTTATGCACTGTATATGCCTTCAAAACAAGGAAATGTCCAGAGAACTTCAACGAAGCCAAGTTTATCGGTTTCACAATGTACACAACGTGCATCATTTGGCTGGCCTTTCTCCCCATATTTTATGTGACATCTAGTGACTACAGAGTAAGTCTTTGGATATCTGTTTCCATAAATCATGTGCATCACTTTAGGGGACCATGTTGGCATTCACTAAAAGCTCTTTCACTTCTTTTGTCCACCGGATCACTTGCAAACAAGATCTGTTCCAATGTTAATGTCCTTCTAAACATATTACCAAATTTTTATCTTATTTCTAAGAAAGATGGTCTCATTTCAGACTGAGCATGTGCAGTTAGAGGTGGAAGGGATTTAGTACCATCGGTCTGATTGTGATCAAGACATAGCATATAGATTAAGTATTCATATTGGTACATCAGTATGTGAAGTCATAGTCCTATCAGAAAAGCCTAGTAGACCATGAGCTAGAATGAGTCATAATGAGATATTTGGTTGAGGTGGACCTTAAATTAAAAACTGAACTAACTAGTCTCCTTCTGCAAAAGAATCTGCCATTCAAACATTGTATTTTCTTCCACATAAAAAAGATAAGGAAAGAATTTCAAAATTTGCTATGAAACAGGATTATTTTTAAAAAGAATCCAACAAATGTTATGCTCTAATATAGAAATTTTTATTTCTCCACTTTGTAGAGGACAAAACACATACCTTACTGAGCAGAAAATATTGGTCAGCTTTCACCAACAAACTTAAAAATCATTAAACTGTTTAAATTGTCATGGGAGAGTTGCAAAGCTTCAAGTTCAATAAAATCGTATTTTTGGATGGAAGGAAATTGTCTCTGAAAAAGATTCAGATCTGCTCCACTGGAAATCTCACAGTTATTATGATGTGGGAAGTGACTGCTGGAGCTGGCCCTTGGAGTAGTCTCTGGTGAATTAATTCAACTTTCTGCCCAGAAGAAAGGTATATTACTTTAGGGTGCTATAATTACCAGTAGTATGTACATGAAATAACCTGTAAAACTGTGGAGCTAATAATTTCACTCAACATACTTTTGGTGTGACCACCCTGGAACAGTATATTGAGTTCTATTTTTCTCAGCTTAGGAAAGGTACTGAAAACATCAAGAAAACAAGGATAGATAACAAATGACGCAGTAAGACACGCGGTGACAGTAAAAAAGCTAAATATATTTAGTCTAGACAAGAGTAAACCCAGGGAGACGTGATCACAGACTATAAATAATTTCAAGGCAAGGGGAAAAAAAAAAAAAAAAAAAAAAAAGGCAATTTTAT